CTCTTCCGCCGCAGCGTGTGCAAACGCTGCAGTGGGAGGTCCTCCTTGGAGCGCCGGCCATGCAGAGGGCCAGCTGCTCCGAGGACGACCTGGGGAAGAGCTTGGGGTGCCGATCGTGTGGCTGCCCCTCCCCTTCCCTGCCCCCAAAATGGCTCAATTAGCCGTCTGCTTAGGGGGGAAGTCACTAATACATGTTGACTCTTTCTCTACACTGAACAGGTATTAACTTTGGACCATGATGTCAAAAAGGACTCCAAAACCCAAAGCTCCAACTCCCTAAGGAACAGAACTGCATAGTGTACTACAAATAAAGATCTATGTGATGTATCAGGAAAGTTACTATAGCTCTCTTTCCATATATAGGAATGGTCTGACAAGACACAGGAAGCCAACTCTCTCATTCATTCAGGAGTGTGATCTATTTTACACAATATCCTGTTAATAAGGGAATGTGTGGTAAAGCAAAGCAAAACAAAGCAGCTTCATTTATATACTACTTCATGGTATATAAGTGGTCTAAGCAGTTTACAACTGTAAGCTCATTGCCCCTCAACAACTGGGTACTCATTTTAGCGACCTCGGAAGGATGCAGGCCTGAGTCGAGCCTGAGCCCTGGCTAGTATTGAACTTGCAACCTTGTGGTTTATGAATGGCTGCAGTACAGGCATTTAACCACCGCACCACCAGAGCTCCTGATGGTAGTATTGGGATGTACGATATTTAATGGTTACTGGACTCCAGGATACATCTGTGCTCATGAGGAAAGAGCAAATGATAACAGCAATATGTGTTGACTGTAGAAAGGCAGCTGGTGCAACTTGAGATTTAACATAGTTCCATTTATGATATTGGAAGAGGTCCCTTTTAAATGGGTTGGCCTCATTTCCCCATCAGCTACCAAAATGACAACTAGGGAGAAAACCCAAAGGATTGTTTTGAAGGCGCTGGGCTTAATATAAATGCTTTATTCATAGAAAAGGTAAAGTTTCTTACCAGCAGAAAAATTCAGGTTTGGAAAGCCAAATGGCATTTGCTTGTCCTTATTTGGAATTGATTAAAATGGTTGCTTACTCTCAAGACTAATCTTAGCAAGGATGTATAACAATTCTGTCGAATGAACCAAATAATAAAAAAAAGTCATCACTTGGTTTCCAGTAGAGCCATTGGCCCCAGTTGAGCATCCTCTTCCATGCTTATAATCACGTTCTGTTTTTTTCATATATGTTTTTCAAATATCCACCTGAATCTGCTGGGGCAGGCCATCATGACAACAGACTCAACTATTACTCTTTAACAGCTGAGTTGGGTGTGGCTGTGTATTTGCTACTGCAGTAGACAGATAGGATAAGGAGCAATAAACAAAATGGGTCTTGTGGGAGTGGAGAATCAATGTTGAACTTAAACAGTAGCCTCAAAGCTTGGAACCGTTCCTAGATTCACTTTTGCTGCTCCTACATCAGTCTCAGCCCAGGTATTCTTGATAATATGGAGAGCTTTTACCACTGGTTCACTTGGCTTGCCACTAGCAGCTATTCTTAGAAATGACCTGATAATGGTAATCCATGCTTTGGTAACCTCCTGGGCAGATTACTACCCTGCAATATATGTGAGGCTGACCTTGAAGACTGTTTCTGCAGAATATGGAAGACAGAGCTGTACATTGTACCATCAGTTTTGTTCGCATTACATTACACCTCTTAGGAGAACTGCAGTCACTGCTTATTTGCTTTGGAATCTGACAGTTCTTGTTGCATCCCTTCAAGCCATTTTTGAGTTATGTCAACCCTAAGACCAGTGATGAATCTCAGCCTTTTACTCCAAGTCTCAAGTCAAGGGTCAAGTCTCTACCTTCAAACCTCAAGTCAAGTTTCAAGTCCTCATGAGATACTTTTGAGTGAAATCTCAAGTCTGGGAACCAAACTTAACAGAAAAAAGGAGGGAGTTGGGGAGCAGTTCGAGTTGGAAGGATTCTTTGAGGCAAGCAAGACTCACCCCAATAGTGTGGGGCATGTTTTTCGAAAGGGAACAGCAAATCTGTTGGGCAGTGGGCTTGAGGTGGAAGGCTTCTCTAATGTGCAGTAGGGGCAAACTGCGGAGTAGACCTCAAGCCCATTGCCTAATGCATTTGCTGTTCCTTTCTGAGAAACACAGCCTGTTCTATGAGGGCGAGTCTTGCCTGCTGCTCCTAGGAATATGTAGCTTTCCTACAAATTTTTGAACTGGAAATCCCAGCAGTCCTTGACAGCATAGCCAATGGCAAGGAATGCTGGGCATTATGGACCAACTACATCTAGATGGCTACAAAATCCCCAACCCTGGACTAGAAGAAGCCTTGTTCTAGGCTTTGCCAAAGAACTTCCTGTTAATTAAGCTGTGAATTTACTCTACCTATATGTGGCATACATTTTATGGCTGGGGTTTAACACACAGCACACTTTAGGATTCTCAAGAATTAGTAGGTATTGGAACAGCCACACCCTTTGTAAATGTGGTTCCCAAATGGTTTATCTCCATTATTTCACTTCAAAGTGTGGTAATCAACAGCTCAGAGGAGGAATAAATGAAATTTTGTTTACCTAAAAAGAGCAGAAAGCCTTTGTGTCTTCTCCCCAGTGATTCTCTAACTAGTGTTGAGGATGCACTGCAACTTTGCATACCATTGTGGTACAGCCTGAGTCTCCCTTATTTGGAATTCCAAAATCCAAAACTCTTTTCATGGCAGGCTATGATAGTCACACCTTTGTTTTATTATGGTTCCATGTACACACACTTTTGTTTTGTGCACAAAATTATTTAAAAATATTATGCAAAAAATTACCTTCAGGCTATGTGTATAAGATATGTACAAAACATAAATGAATTTCAAGTTTAGACCATCTCCAAGATATCTCATTGTGTATATGCAAATATTCCAAAATCCAAAAAAAAAATTTTTTTTTAAATAATAATAATCCAAAATAAAAAAAACTTTGTGCCAAGCATTTTGGATCAGAGATATGCAACCTGTCTATATGACACATGCACATTTTCATAAACACCCTGCAACTATTGCAGCACCCTTTTATCTTATAAGATTTTCTCACGCTGAAAGCTACAGAGCCACCCATGCCATGTGGGTAGCAACATCTCCTTACAATTGAAGCTCAAGAATGTTCTTTCTCTTTCACAGAGGACATTTTTAATAAGCAGATTGCTTCTCTCTGGTTAGCAAAGAGCTTTTTGCTGCCAGATGTACAAGGGGCAGTTGCAGTGCAGAATGCTCCAGTGTAGAATTCCTCAGGAAGGCACAGTATTGCCTGTCCTATTGACAATCCTCAAGAATACTATCATATGTATTTATTCATGGTTGGAGGCTCTGGTGACATTCTTCATTCCCAAGAGCAGGAAATCTGTTTGTGGAGAAATTGTTCTCATCACTGGTGCTGGACATGGACTTGGTAGAGCAACAGCTTATGAGTTTGCCAAACGACAAAGCACACTGGTCCTTTGGGATATCAATAAGGTAGGTAATTGTTGCTATTTTAGATTCAAATGGGAGTAGCAGCAACAGGTAAGGGTTATGGGCAAACATTCTGTGATGATGTCTGTTCATAGTGCATTCACTGGCTATTGGGATTCTGGGAGACTATAGATCAAGGAAGTAATTTTTTCAAGCACTAGTTCTGCATGTTGGAAGCAGCAGTCATATTGTATGTATGGAAAGAGCTGGTGTTTTTTTTATTTATTTAAATAATTTATTGAATGAAAGGACACAAATACAACAAATATTTGCATACTCATATATTGTTGTTGTTGCATGCCTTCAAGTCATTTCCAACTTATGGGTGACCTTAAGGAAAACTTACAGTGGCGTTTTCTTGGCAAGATTTGTTCAGAGGAAGTTTGCCATTGCCTTCCCCCAAGATCAAACTTTGCCTTCCCCCAAGATCAAACTTGGGGCCTTTGCAGACTGCCAGAAATACTGCAAATTGAGTCCACTTTAACTGCCCTGACTCAGTGCTTGGGAATCATGGGAACTGTATTTTTTTTCTGATACATTGAGCCTTCTCTGTCAGAGAGCTCTGGTGCCACAATAAACTACAGTTCCCATGATTCCCTAGCACTGAGTCAGAGCAGTTAAAGTGGACTCAATTTGCACTATTTCTGGCAGTCTGCAAAGGCCCTTGGTCTCCAGAGTTGGGAGTCCAACACTCAAACCACTACACCACACTGGCTCAATGTACATACCTTCAGTATCTAACTCGTTACTTCCAAGTACATTATGTAACTTTCTTTTTCTTATCCTTCTATTTTTGTTTCATCTTCTGCAACTCTTTGTCTTCAATGCTTATTCACCAACATTTCCTCCTCTTACCCTTCATTTCCTTTCTTCATCATCCTTCATCCATTTAGTCTCCTCAGTCCTACATTGGTGTTCTGTTTTTGTTTTTTAAATGGATAATATTCACTGGGGAGAAGGAAAGGAAAATTTTTTCTCCTTTTAGTTAAAGAAAATTTCATTTATTCCTCCTCTCTGCTGTTGATTACCACACTTTGAAGTGAAGTAATGGAGATAATGTCAAAAGAGATAGAAGATTATCACATGATGTAAAAGTGTGGAATTAAAGCAGGATGCCTGAAAAAGTTAAGTTGGAAGTAAGGATTTGATTATTTTGGAAGAAAGGTGGGATTGACACCACTTTGAATTTACACACATGCAAATCTCAAAACAGTATAAGTATTTACAGCTTGTAAATAAATAATTGACAAACAGGATTCTGGCCATTATCTGTTGTATTTCCCAAAAATCTTAGTTCTGACTAAATTACATGAAGGTACTCATTACTATGAAACACTAAATGTAAGTTATATATTATTGTTGCTGTGTGACTTCAAGTCATTTCTGAATTATGGCAAACCTATCATTGAGTTTTCTTGGCAAGATTTGTTCAGAGGTTTGCCATTGCCTTCCCTTGAGGCTGAGAGACTGTGACTTGGCCAAGGTCACCCAGTAGATTTCGTGGCCAAGCTGGTAATTGAACCCTGGTCTCCAGAATCATAGTCCAATGCTTAAACCACTATGCCAAGATGGCTCCCCATGTCTTCAGCCTATCTGGATGAGGAATAGGAGAACTAAATCATCTGCATATATCAGAAATAGAACCTAACTTGATTCAAGAGTGGGAGGGAAGATTGAAAGTGATACCCACTCTTGCATTACACATTGTCCACAAAAAATTAAATAAAAAGGGGACCAGGAAACAAGATCATTAAATTCCTAGAAAGATTATCACATCTTCTGTCTGTCTAATTCATTCTTACTTGGGTGGCAATGTTAAAATGTACTGTAGGTTTTTTATTAACCAAAGCAATGTTTTATCAGTGTTAGTGCTGATTATCTTCTTCTAAAGGTATGTTCTGTTTACTGAATCAAAGACTGGTCAAATCTATAAAAACCACCAAAAAAAATGTTTAGAAGGTCCCAGTGTGTGTCCATTTCTGTGTCTGTGTGTATTTTAACGAAATAGTGAAGAATAAATAGTCTATTGCACTTTGGCCTTATACAAAAGTCTGCTTCATTGATAAGAATATTAGCTTTCCCCGCCTTTCAGTTTATACAATATATCTTCAAAGTGCAGTTTAGAAGCTGCTTTCTGAAAATTAATATGTATATAGTTAGGATATTATGGTTATTGCCACATTGGATGCCCAGTCTGAAGATAAGGATCTTTTGGATTAATATATATTGAGTATCCCTTGTCCAAAATACTAGGGATCAGAAGTGTTCTGTATTTCGGAGGGGGGGGGGGTTGGATTATGGAATACCTTTATTTGCATATACATAGATAATGAGCTATACTGGAGATGGGGCCCAAGTCTAAACAATACATTCATATCTGTTTCATATAAGCCTTCTACACATAGCCTGAAGGTAATTTTATACAATCTTTTAAATAATTTTGTGCATGAAAGAAAGTTTGTGTACATTGAACCATCAGAAAACAAAAGTGTCACTATCTCAGTCATCCAAGAAAAAAGTGTTGGGTTGTGTTCGGAGTATTTCAGATTTCAGATAAGGGAGCCTCAACCTGTATGTATAAAATATCTGGAAAATTTAAGGGGCTGTGATTCAAAATTAATTTTAAAAATCTCAGGAGGTAACACATCATTATCAGGGGAAGGCTTTCTCTCAGTGCTGGCACCATCACATGCTAGCTTGGTGGGGACATAAGAAAGAGAGCCTTCTTAATAGTTGCTCCTACTTTCTGGAATGGCCTTCTATGCAAGGCTAGGCTGGCCCCTTGCGCCAGCAGACAAAGACATTTTTATTTTAAAAGTAGGCTTGTGATATATATTAACATTGTCAGGGAGGCTTTTATATGGGGAGGGGGTTCTATTTATGTTTTTTAACTTTTGTATTTTTAATGTAATTTATACTGTTTTTAATGAGATGATTTTTATTTTATTTTATTTTTATTTTTATTTTTATTGTTACGTTTTTAACCAATTTCATCTGTAAAACGCCTTGGGCACCATTCCAGGAAAAAAAGTTGCTAATAAATAAATAAATAAATAAAGGCACGGCTTTCTCTTTTGCTAATGTCATCCAACATGTCGAGTGGAAAATGAGCAATGGTTGCTCATTGCTATTCAAGTAAAGCCTGTTTTGGAAGAGGGCCAAAGACAGAGGAGTATTCCTTTGAACATTTGCCAAAATCTTGCTTAAGTGCAACAACACCCAATCCCTGGGAGAGATTAAAGCCACCCCAGCAGTTTTCTACCTCTGTTCTTCAACTGACATAAGTCTCCAAATCCTAGCTTTGTTCTTTTTGCCATTGCCTGTCCCAGAGTCTTCCATTTCCTTGCATTAATGCTGCTTTCTTTTGCTTCTGAAACATTTTATATAGCTGCCAGCAGTGCAGAATAAACTTTCTTCTTCTGACAGTGGGAACCTCTCTGCCCTGATCAACCTACATGAAGGCTGCAATCCAACATCCCCTCTCAGTGTAGCATAAATATCCACATGCGGAGATAAATAACATGAGCACCATGCATCCCCATGCAGAATAGCAACACTGTGCAACACATTTTGGTGACTTACTGAACATGCAGCACAACCACAATGCAAAGTATATAATCCACAAGCACAGTACATAATGCACAGTGTGCAACTTGCAAAGACAAGGCACATGCTGTAGGTGCAACTCCACTTCTGCCATTATCTGCAGAATACACTGAATGTGCAATGGTGACTTTTTGGCTCCACATGCATAGCTTGCCTTGTGCATGAGTATGTCCCTAAAAGAATTCTGGCTAAAGTCTTTTTTGTGTTCTTGCAGCCCTTATCATAAAACATAAATGCTGCTAATTTGCTAACTTTGCTGACTAAGGTGACATAGCTTCTCACGTAATAAAAACCAGACTTACATCTTTATTCATTGCAATTGACCATTTGTTATTTATCCCAAAAGTGAGCCTTTCATAGGATTTTGGGAAGTGATAGGTTTTTTCTCTATGTATTTGTTTTTTGTTTGTACCACTGTTCTACATCTGATCTAGGATTCCATTTGGCAATTCAGATCATATTCCAGACTGAGCTAGATGTGATCCAGTCGAATCTCAATTCAGATTACAACTTTGAAAATTTGAATCACTGCTCCTGTCATTCATTACTACTGGAAAACCTAAATGGCTATAACTTTTTTTGTTTCTTCACACAGCTCAGTGAAACTTGGAGGCATAGTAAATCCGAAAGAGGAGCATGATCCTGCCAAATTGCATATAGGAAACTTCAAGGGTTTTTTATGTGATGCAACTTTAAAGTTACATCTTTTTTATTAAAAAAAACTTTAAAAGTTCTGTTTTTATTGGAAAATATTGTTTTTGAAAACTGTTGCAATTGTTGTCAATGTGATTTGATGGTACTGTCTTATCATGTTATTACTGGTTTAATTTATTTTTAAGGGGTGGGAGGGTTTGGGAACTTTGTATTGTATTTTAATATGTTGTACGAATTTTAACTACTGTAAGCCACCTCGATTGTTCGTCAGAGGGGCGGGATAAAAATAAAATTTATTATTATTATATTATTATTATTATCATACTTACCTGTATCCTCTAATTTTGATACTATCCTACTATGCTTACCTATACCCTCTAATGATGTTGAGACTATCTTATAGTGCTTCCCTGTATCCTCTAATATTGTTGATACTATCCTGTTGTGTTTACCTTCATCCTC